ATGCACTTTTATGTGTATATGTATTGATGATGATGATGATGATGATGAGGATGATGATGATGATGGTGGTGCTGGTGCAGGTGCTGGCGCTGGCGCTGGCGCTGGCACTGGCTCTGGCGCTGGTGGCGGTGGTGGGGGAGGCAGAGGGGGAGAGGGGAGGGTAGGAGGGAGGGAGGGAGGGAGGGAGGGAGGGAGGGAGGGAGGGAGGGAGGGATGGAGCTCCTGCACGGCTATCTTCTTTTTCGATGTGTCATTGCTTGTCGCGTCTGTTCGTTGTTGCTGAAAAATGGTACGTATTTTGCTGATGAGTGCGTCTCTGCTCTTCTTCTCTTCCAAGAATCCAGCAGCTATCACCCACTCTCGTGAGCTACATGCCTCGTCTTCTTTCACTGTGGTATCGAGTGGCTTGCAGCGAGCCCTGGTTTTGTCACGGTGCTTGCTGCGTGCTTCCACCCTCTTGGGTCTGCTTGTGTCTGGTCGTGGCTTCTTACTGAGAACTTGTCGGTGTTTCCTATCTTGTTGTCTTGTTCGTTTAGGACCGCTTGTTGTCTGCTTGCTCTGATTTGCTAATGTCAACTACGTGCTGTGCTGCCAGCATTACACCAACAACCATCACGACAACCACCAAGATGTTTTAGGGTGCCGAGGTCTCAGTGTTTGGAGGTTCTCGGGCTTGGGTCTTGCTGCCGCGACAAAACCCTTCATAGCACCTCTTATAGTACCTGCTAAACGTACCCTATTGTAGTAGCCTATTATAGTACCCCTATTTTCGTACCGTCTCATGGTACCTTATTATAGTACCTCACTATAGTACCCTTTTATCCTACCCTATTGCATCTTGGGGTGCTCCTCCTTGACATGGAGCGGGCGAGGCCCTCGTTGTCTTGGCGCGCTGCCGACGGAAAGTCCTGGCACAGGGCTCTGAAACTTGGTGTTAAGCACAAGTCACAAGATGTGTTACAGGAAACCCAAACCTCAGACCCCGCGGCCCAAGTAAGAGACCAGAAAACACTAGCCACGCATGCTCCAGTGTGTCACTTGCAAGGAAAGACACGCGTCACTTGCAAGGAAAGAGACATTCGAGGAAAGGAAGATCCCTCACAAGGCTGAGTGCAATTCGGGAAGTTGGGAAATTGTCATTTAAAGCCTAGGTGTGACTGTCCATGTAGCGAGCTTTCCTGTTCCCCCCCGAAGCCCTGTGCTTGCAAGGCTCCTCACCGTCCTCCCACTGTTCCTGCACTTGAGGATACACTCCACACGTCTGTTGAAATTCGTCGTCCGAGTGCTTCACTGGGATTGCAATAAAACTTGTCTGTAAGCTGCGACAAAGTCTTTACCTAGCTGTCGAAGCGCTCTTAGGGAGATAAGACGGATAAGCACCATGCAAACGTGCGAGAGCTGCAGCGAGGCCTCCATGCCCTGAGCCAGAACCTGCACCGGCAGATTCAGTTCAAAACAAACACATACTGCGAGGGATTCCACGTGAAGACAAACCCTGAGTGCTAATACTGGTCGGGGCACCAGCTTCGTCATCATCATCACCAGCTGCATGACCATAACAACTTTCACCATCAACATCATGACCATCGTCATCGTCACCATCGTCGCCGTCGCTGTCGTCGCCATCGCCATCGGCATCACGCTCATCGCAATGACGCTGGCAACTGGAGCTACTACTTGTAACTGAGTCTTGCGTCAAGCCTGTGTATTGACCGTTGTATGTATTTGCACTGCACTTGCAGTTGACATGTTTTTGACAGAAGCATCCGGCGCAGGCCGCAGCAGCAGCAGCAACACCACCACCACCACCACCACCACCAGCGGTGGCATCTCGAACATTATTCTGGGAACGTTCCTGCTAGATGGCTTGATGTAAATACTCAGTGATCGCGAACAGGCTCTTCTGAAGATAACCTGTGCTGCTGTCGGTTAGCATTGTCTTGACTGTTCTGCCATGTTTCATCAGTCATTGCGCTTCCTGTTGCTCGTTCTCTTAGCTGGGATGGCTCGTGTGTTCCGAACATAAGGCTCTTTGGTGTGTTGACGCTTTGTTAGTCTTCATTTTCTGACGGATACACTGTCAAAGATTCAGAAAGAAATGGCCGTTTCCAGAATTCAGGATGCAATTCAAACCAACGACTGCCGCTCTCTTCTTTGGCTCCTGTCTCAGCTCGACATTTTGCTACTGTGAGCCTTGTCATCCAGACGCCAGATGACACCATCACTGCCTCCGGCTTCAGTTCAGCACAAGTTGCATTGTAGCTGGTACGACTAAACACTCGCCTCCTTTCGACAGGGCATGTTTCTAGATCCCATACGCGATTCTGATGCATCTTGCCTCACCACTTCCTTCTACAGCCACAGGAGGAGGCAACGGTGCGCAGAACGATCTACGCTTGAGAAACATGGCCAATGCGATCTGAGCGGTGAACGGCGGCCCGCCTGCAGGCGGCAGGCCATCCGCCGGCATTGGCCTGACAAAGAAAGCAGACAAAGACTGGAGCTGAGAACCAAAAAAACACGTTTTGGCCTCAATTCCAGGCGCAAGTGCCCAGACAGAGGAGTGATGACCTTACTCTTTGCCAGAGCACCGGTGCGAGGCTGCGATGAGTCGGAGTGTCAATCCTCGGCTAAGGCTCTCGCCCAGGCCTCGCTGCTGCGCTGCACGAAGACGTCCAATCCCTCCCAACGGGATGAAAATTTCGTTTGTGGGTGGGGTTTTTGTTGATGCAACTTGTCGCAGAGCTCGAAACAGTTCACCCTGGACCCGCTCCTCGTCCATGGCAAGAGCTCCTTCAGGCGAAAGAGAGCCGAGGCAGAGTCACTTCCGCGAGCACAGAGGTCCCTGCCTGGGTCGTCTTCGGCTGCATCGTCACCGTCGGCGTCGACGATCGCGCTGGAAGCCTGGAAATCAGACCAAAGGATACCGTCTTGTGAGAAGAAACCCTACCCGCAGGGCGCACCTCCTCGCTTTCGGTTTGGATGCCGGGTGACGCAGCGGTGTTTTCGGTTCCCTCTGCGTCCTCTATGGCTGTTGGCTCAGATGGACTCGACCCACCGGACTCCAGAGCCGTGCCGATGTCATCGGAAGATTTCGTCCTCCTCCACACATCGCAAGGTGGACAAAAAAATCAGCCAATAAGCCCACCCTCCTTCGTCGAAGCGCGGGCAGGCGGCCGCTTGGAAAATCGTTAGACATGGCTTTGCTATGAAGTTCCCGTGTTTGGATGGTGGGATGCGTCCATCCTTGGCTTGAAGCGTTTCCGGGCCAAGGATGGCAAGACCATCTGTCTGCACTTCGATCTGAACCAAAGCCCTCTGCTGCTTATCCTTCTGGCGGTATGAGCCACTGGCCTGCGCAACGAGCATCCCGGCCAGGAACTGACAGAACGACGACGAAGGCAGCAACACACAGACATCACCACCGGTCGCGCGGCATGCTGCCTGCTAGTTGCATGAATACGGCTTGAGTGCAAGAAGTATCCAGGCGCTGTTTGAGTTTTGCACATTGAGACCGGTGCGGGTCTATGGTATTCTCAAAGATTGCAGTCTGCTGACCTCACTCGCTCACCAGCACCAGTCGCGCGGCAAGTGCACATTGGAGTGGGAGGCAACGCTGTGATGCTCCGCGTGCAGAAGCCGTGTGCAATTTTTTCGACGAGGTCCACGCATATTGCGCATTCTGCCCCAAGTAACTCCTGCATGGTGAGACGTGCCTACAGGTGAGATTCCCGTTGGAGGCTCTTTGTGCACTGGTGTCACCTGTGACTCTCTCTGAATCACAGTGTATCCATGAACTTGGCGTGACTTGAACTTGTTAGGGATGCGAGGGCTTCGAGAGGAGGCGCTTTGTAACACGGGCCTTTGGCGACGGTCTGGGATCTGTACATCCAGCAATCTTGGTCTCCAATTCCTCATGGTGGTCGCTTCTGAAGCCATCCTGTTTCAGCTACAGCAGGGGCAACTTAATGCGATTGGTCGTCCTCAAACGACTGGTTGGATTCTTTCGCACGCTGAATTCACCCAGATACGGCAGATTCAAGCCTGTGACTTCGATGGCAAGGGTCTACGATAGACGAAGGAACAATGTGATATGATACAATACGACATCATGAAAAACATCATTAAAAACATCAAACCAGATCATAACATATGACATCAGATCATATCGTCTCACATACGATGATAATGCATAATGTCATATGTTACTGTATCATCTCACATCATATCATAGCCCCTATACCCTTTCATATCATGAACCGTGAAACAATGTCACATCATATCATAATATATCATATCACATCACGTCATATCACATGATATGGTATAGTAGAAAACACAACATAATACAATATGACGCAGCATAAAGAGTACAACATGGTACAGAAACATATAGTACAAAGCAATCTTAAGTACAGAAAAGTCAGACAAATAAAACCAAGAGTATCAGAATACAAAATCCAGCATACGACGCTTAAACAAAGGCATCGAATGTTGCAACAACAAATGAAAACCCGATTTACACTATATACCAGTAGCATACAATGTGGAAGTTGGCTTGGGACATAAAGTAACTCATACCGTGTACCATATGTAAACATCTACAAATGCAGATTTATACAAAAATGTATACAGTATGCAATACGAAACAACTGTTGTACAGCATATAACATAACGTGCACTACATAATATCTAGTGTGTTGGGCATAAGAAACGAGGTATAGCAGAACATATACTAATACTACATCTTTTGGGGTATGGTACACATGTACAATGGTACATATTTGCATATACAGATACATTAGATTTTACTATGCTTCACTATATTGATCTATATTGTATATACTACAATGTCATTTACGACACTATAACAGACAATATATTATACACTAGATAGTATACATGTTCTCTACATGTGTAGGTATTCATACATCCTTATACAGACAAAATACTTTGAAAATGTAAACCACATAACCCATACTATGTGCTACAAGATATATTATAGACTGTATACGATGCTCTGTCAACTATACGCTATATACTTTATCTACTATATACGACATCCACTGTATAAATTTAGTGTATACTAAATAACACAAACTACACAGCAAATCAACGGTAGTACAAAAGAACGTAACTCAGAATAGTTACAAAGCATCATACACGTAAACGCATGTGTGTAGAGATGTACACGTATACATGAACGACTATCAGGCTGTAGCACACAAGGTAAATGACATGTAGCATAACATATAACATCGAACGTAAAAGAAATAAGATGCGAGATTCAAAACGCAGTACAAAATCAATATGGATAATATACGCCGCAAGTAAAACAAACTATACCTAAAACATAGACCAGATTCGCTATGCGTATGTGTATGCATGTATATATATATATATCACACATGACATGTCAGATACTAGGTGTTCTACATTGCATATGATGCACTCTAAAGTACAGGTGTTATCATCTTTAATAGACAACATATACTGTATAAGATGTACAATATATACAATCTATACAATTTTACAAAATACGTATATATGCATAATGTTCCTAATATACACATGTATGTTTGTTACATATAAAGTCGAATGACACAGTACATCATGAGTACCAACTTAAAGAACACACATTAATCATCGTTAGTACAGTGTAATGCATGCAAATACAATATAGGTTGAAACATCTGATATACAATAGGCAACATGTTCTATGTGATATGCAAAAGACGAAAAATACATGAAAAATCATAATCCTAATCATAATTGAGTATACAGGTATATGTTTTGATCATTTGATTTTTAATGTAGTTCCTTGGTTGTAAAGTATATACATATATGCATATGCATCTGTATATGTACATGTCTCTTTACAAAAACAACGTGTGCAGAAGCATACGACCCAACCCAACTCGAAAACACGTGGCAGCCTGCCTCAGCTTGGGACTTCCATCCATGTGTGGAAGGCAGTCCACAAATTTTCGAGCTGAGGATAGGCTTCACCAAGCACCCTGCAAAACATTGGACTCCAGCAGCACACAGGTAGCAGGAACAAGGCGCAAGTCTCGTCGTGTTTCAGGCGATCGGCCTCACGATTTCCTCGACCTTCCCACGGAGCCTTGGTTTGCAAGATCACGACGTTCGCCCTGAGCCCTCACAACCATTCACATGCACAAAATGCACGGCGAGAGACTGCAATTGCTCATCGTGCTGCTGCTGAATGTTGGCAGGTGGAGGCGGGCCGGTTCCCATTGATAGCTCGTCCAGGCCTTAGCACAGAAGAGTTGTGACTTCAAGAGATACATTGGGCCATCACTGTGTCCAACTTGCTGGCCAACCTAGACATCACGATTTGGAAGGCTCAGCACCGGTCGTTTAGCCGTCCTCTGTAACTGGAGGATGCTGGCCAAGTTCTGCTGCTTCTCAACATGGCCCACCTGACACGTGAATCTACTAATGAGACCTATTCAAAGCCACGACAGGAAACCCTGAACACAGAAGTCACAATAAGCACCGAAAGCTCCAAAAAATCTCCCGGCTACCTGAATGAACCCAAGTTCCCGAGATTCGAACCCGTCAAACAATGAATTTGCACTCACAATGCCCCCCACTGGATCCGGACACCGTGCGTCTATTTGCCACCCCACACAACGCTGGGCATTGGGTCGGCGACCAATCGTCCCTGTAGGCAACCCCCATTGTACATATGCATGCATGTATGCATGCATGTATCTGCATAAGTGGAATACGTGTATGTAAATGTATATGTATATGCATATGTACATGTATATTCATGTGTACATATACACATGAAACCTGTATCAACATGAAACACGTACGTATGTGTGTAGATATATACATGTACGCACACACACATACACACATGCTTTTGGCGCAAAAACGCGATTCGCAGCACTCAACAGCATTTTTTGCCATTGAGTCACAACGTAAGGCGGTTGACTCTCTGTTTGTGAGACTTTACCCCTGGTACATCTCGCCCCCGCCAGAGAGGCGACCGGCACGCCAACCCCCCTCCGCCGCGCCCGGAGGGGGTTCCGCGACTCCAAAAGAGAAGGAAGGAGCACGAGAGCACAGAGGAAAAGGTATTCAAGAGGCTACATGCACTCCAAGAAACGAGGAGTGCCCTTTACACAGTCCCAAAAACTCAAGTAAAGCAGTTTCTGCTACCCACGGCTCAGGGCTCGGAGCAGCTGGTCAGCTGACGGAGGAATACCAAACGGTCTACAACGCTCCATCTTGTACACAAGGGTGGCAGTATCTTTACCATACGACTGTCCACGTTGAACTTCTAGAAGACGTCCAAGATGAGCTCGAAGAGCAAAAGTTTGCGTTCATCAGACGTTCTTTTGGCTGGTTCGTGACCATGTGCTTGAGGCACAGAACCTTTGAACTTTGGGTCGAGTGCCAACTGTGGAAACACAGCAATCCAAACTATCCAGCGTGGAACAATAAGCATCAGAGGCCTCTCCGATTCTGTGGATTCTGTGGAACCGACTGGGATGGGTGCAGAATCTTCCAGGAGTTTTCGCAACGCCGACGTGGAGATCGAAGTGGGTTTCAGAAACGCCGGAGTGCGGACCAGAGACTGCAAGGTCCGAGTGCATGTTGGTCGGATGTCCGAGCCACGAATCCAAACTGCTATGTGATCAGACAACTTGGCGTCATCGTAGCTGGCAAAGCAGGATCTGTCACGATGGCATAGTCAATGCAACGTTGGCTTTGCCACCGTGAAGGAACCACGCAGTCACCCTCCGTGACGGTGCATTGTTGTAACCATCCTCCATGACACATTTCAATCTGGCTTCCAATTCCAATCTCCCACAGCAATAAAAGGTGTAGTGGTAGCCCATGAGTTAGCAATCCAAGGTGCGAATTTCTTGCGTACGAGGGCGACGCCACATTATCGCAATCAGCGTGTACGAAAGAGTCGATGACATTCACTGTCACATCCTCTCGCATTGCAACCAAAATCGCTCGATGGATTTATTTCTTTCCCTGTACATCTGTTTGTGTGTCGCCTGCGAAATACCATCCTCTATATCCCAAGCGTCGATCACGTTGAAGTAGTGCCGGCTTTTGTTGCGGTAAGACGCGAACTTCAGCCAGACCGATGACGTGAGGCTTGTGGGACTGTTGTGCCGCAAACTCGAGGGACCGATCTGCTCCTTGGTCCTTCCAGGCCAGACCATCACAGTTGTGAAAGAATTGATCAAGCTGAGAGGAGGTACAGTTGGACCAGGGTTGGGTTCGATGCCTTCGGTGGTTAAATCATGACACCAAACCGTCTGTTGCAAAGCAACCGTCTGCTTCTTGAAATGCCGTTTTTTGGCCATCTCGTCCATTTCACTGCCCGACTGCGACATGTGCAAATGCTTGGTGAGACGACCGATGTGGTTGTCATAGAAGTGCCTCAGACGGCCCCATGTTCTAGTAAGCCGCTTGAGGTTGCGAGTGCGCCACCATGTACCCAATGTTTTAAGCCTTCGGCTCTTTTGGGCGACCTCGGAGCACCTGGAGGACAAATTCTCCTTGCACCCAGTGCGCCAAGTAGCTGCGCATCGCGACCAGCCCCATTCGAGAAAGCGGTGTTTACCGTCAGCTTTGGGAGGTACCCGAAGCTGGACTAGCGATGCTTGGAAGGATCACCTTGCATGCGTTGTTGCCAAACTGCTTCTGCTACGAATAAACTTTTGGCCTTCCCATCTGCAGTGCCAGGAAGCGCAGGAAGACCTTGTAGTTTCGCAGCTTTGCCAAGTTGTTGACTGTTGGCCTTGAGAGTCTTTGGAGCGCCAGGACTGTATGTAAGACCCACTGCGAGCCGGGATGCCACGCATGCATTTTCAACATTTCCAAGCAGCTGGTGCTCCAGGAGGCAATTCAGCAAGCTCTGCGTTCACACGATGTTGGATCACCGGGCAGTTGGCACGATCTTCACCTTCATGGGCTCTAGTAACATGGTTACGGCGAGCTGAAGCATGACGGCCGGAATCCAATGCAGCAACACGTCTGCCACAAGGACATGGCCAGCATAGCACAAAACCAGGACGGGCAATGAAGCTAGCCACATGGGGATCGAAAGTAGCAACTTGGGATATCCATGGTGCCACTTGTGGTTCAACGTGTCCCATGTCGCCATTGGAACCACGGGTTGGTGTCCTCCGGCAACGCTGCATCATCCGTGGCTCGTGCTTTTCTTTGACTGGGCATGCGAGTCACACCATGAGTGGTAGAGGCAGAGCCACACTGAGAGAAGGCTTTACGCTTGCCTGAGATATGATTGCTTGATAACGCGGTTTCTTTGATACTCTTGGCATCACATGCACTGAGACGAAGAGCAGAAACCTTACGAGATCGCGCATCGCCCATCGATAAGTGCAGCAAGGCGGGAATGCCTCCGCGTAGAAGGGCACGAGAGGAGTGACGTTTGCCTCTCTTTTCCTCCTGCTGGGCTAAGCGCTGAATCCACTACGAACGGTCAGTGCCACTGATGATTTCATAGTGGCTGGCGTCGTGTTCCAGGTAGATGCCGAGGTCAGTGCCACTCGTCAATTTCATGAACAAAGGCTTCACACTGTGTGGCGTTGCAAAATGCACTGAATTCTAGAGCACCAAGCCAGGTACCGGTAACAGCAATCTCGTTCAGATACGTGGTGACGTCCGCATCCTCTCCTTGTGAAGCTCCACGGGGATTGGGACGTCCTTGATTTTGCTGCTCATTCTTTTGGATCCTGAAGTAAGTGCAGACCGGTACCCCGTAGGCTCTGAGCACAGTGGAGCTAAGCCATACGGTGTTCCTCGATGGCGACTCCCACCGAGCATCTGGTTTTCGCCTGTCTGCCCAGCGTCTCTCGCGTGCCCCGGACTTTGGGATGCGCTCCCAACGGCTCGCCTGTGGTTTGAGAGCCTTGGCTTCTTCCGCGAACCCTCAGGTCTGCGCTCCCCAGATTGGGCCTTTCTCATTTCACCGGAATTCATCAGCTTGGCGTGTGTCTGTTAAAGACTCTCTCGCTCGCAAATGGAAAGTATATACATATAGATATACACATACATATCACTTCACTTCGGCACTGCAAAGTAGATCTCTGCGAGCGTCTTCGAAGGACAAGACACATATGGCCTCGGCTGGAAGCTGCGGTTTCCGCATCCGCGGGCTACTAGAAAGGATGCTAGGAGCCTCCTTTGCTAGTACACATACATACACCATACACCTGCATACAGTACATGCTTCTCCGTACGTGCATATATATGTACAAATGGCAACCCCTTCGCCTGCACTTCGGCCCGGAGGGCTTCGCCTGCCCTTTCCAAGTTGCCGTACTCCTGCACCGGAGAGTTTCGGACTCGGGGCGGATCTTGCGGGTTCAGTTTTTGAATGGTCTGTGGATTTCTTATGTCTTAAGGACTGCTACTCATTCTTCTTGCTGCTTCGGAGTTCACGTCTAGGCCCCCCCAAACCCCCGTGCAAATCAGCTCCGGAGGCCCAGTGCCTTTGGGTTATCTAACACGGCGCATGTCGCACATGCGCTGAAGTGACTCAACCCACGATGACAATGCGTTCACCAATGTTCCGGACCCTAAACCCGAAAGCAACCAGACAGCCATAAAGCCGAAAGGCCTAAGCTTTGACACCATCAAACCCTAACACAAACAGCCCCAAACCCCAAAACTTGAATCCCGAAAGCCGCTCGCCCCAAAAGGGCACGGCCCTGAAGACCCAAGCCAAGAACCCCGAACCCAAAAAACGATGCTGAATACCACCCTAACTCCAAGCTCCTTAGACCCTGAACCCTACATGCTAAACCTTAAACCCTAAACCCAACCTCCCATCCAAACCGCTGGGCCTGCGCCGCCTGCTCAATAGTCTGCTGAAGCTCGGCTAGGTCGCGCTGCCTGATGAGTGCTCGAAGCTTAAAGGGTTCAGGGTTTTAGGGTTGAGAGTTTTTCAAATCTTAGGATTTCAAGGTTTAGTGCTTTAGCAGTTCTCCAAACCCCACAGCCTCAAGCCCGAACCCTTGCATTGCACGTGTGAGTTTGCCGGCTCCGGGTGATGATGGATGTGACAGTCAGGGGCATCTGAGAGCCTTTTTTGGGAGCGGAAACAACTGGATGCCGACACCTTGGCCTTGAACTCAACACTCGACACCCTCCCCCGCAAAAAAAACAAACAGAAACACTACCAGCCTGGCGAACACGTATATCATTTCACCCTTTGATTGACGCTTGAAGTTGCTTACCCAGAGCCCTAACCCTAATAAGACCTTGTAGGGAGACTTATACGACCCGATAAGAGCAGTTTTAAGCAATGCAAGAACCCCACAAGAGCCCTTCTGCAACCCTATGAAGAGCCCATATCAAACTCGTTTCACGCCCTATGACAACCCGCCTTGTACCGCCCGGAAGTAACCCTGAAAAAAAC